ATATTGTAGCCAGGAAGAGACTGGTACAAGTGTTAAACTCAAGTTACAGTGGACCCCTGGTTTACGATATTATTTCATTCCAGAAGTATGTTCAGGTGCCAGTACTGACCGAATTTGTTCCCATAAGGAATATTGTGAAGTAGATTAGTCCATTTCAGACCCCCAAACATACACGTACAAATGCACTTACATAAATACACTTGCATAATTGGTCGCATTGGGAGCTGATCGTAAACCGGGGCTCCACTGTATTGTACTATCAATAACTTGTGGGAGGTGAGCACAGCAGTGCAAAAGGTTCCAGACTCTTAACCCTTAACTGTCCAAACGTAGATCTACGTTCACGTGCGTATTGCTCCGAACTTAATCTACTTTTTTTTTTTTTTTTTTTTACATTTGAAAGCATGTAAAATAAAACGTAGCTGTATGTTCGGAGCACTACGCACGTGAACGTAGATCTATGTTTGGACAGTTTTAAACACCCTCTGTGCATAACAAAATACCAGCAAACCTCTGGCTGTATTTGAGGCAACTTGACATGTTCACATTAGTTCCTGATCAGCCAGGCCGTGGTTGTACACCGGCAGTAACAGCCTGGTTGATCGTGCCTTGATCCAAGGGAGGCCTGGTCTGGTACTGGTCCGTTGACCCCCAGAAGCATTCTCTGGGTGTTGACGGACCCCCTGGAGAATGCTTCCAGGGAGTACATTTCCCAAGCGCTGTATGACCTCTGAAGTTTGTTGGTTCTCAAGACAGGTTCCTTGACACTAGTGGAGGAATCTATCTAACTGAACCTGAGCTCTTTCTTTATATTCATCTAACTGAACCTAATTCTATGAATTTTTCATCTAAGGAATCGAACCTAAGCTTTAATTTTCTAAATTAAGTCTGAATGGCTCTCATTCCCATAGGTGCTGTATGAACACTGTGGGTTCAACCCCCCCCCTCTCCCCCATTGATAATCACATTCGATTCATGGAACAAATTCCTTAGATTCAAGATCCCGTCGTTAACATCAGGGAACCTCGATGAGGTGGAACAAGTATTAATTCTGTCTTGGTCATACAGACATAAACAGCAGTGTTGTACGACACTTTCCGACTTTAGCATTCACCTTAATACTAATTATTACGAGGAAAACTAAGTACTACGTGATGACCCAAAAATCTGGACACAGGAAATATATTAATATTCTGCTTTGTCCCACAGTTACAAATGACGTAAATGTGACATTAACCCTTCCAGGGTCCTGAACCCCCTATCTGAAACTTGTCCACAGGGTTCAAGAATTTTCAAAATTTTTTTGTTATGAAATGGAAGAGAATATAATTTTTTGAAAGTAATAAAACAAAAAGTATGAAATTTGGTGAAAAACTGACGAAATTACGCTATCGCGAATTTTGCCGTGTCAGCGATATTTACACATCAGCGATTTTGCCAACTTTGACTCCCATTTTAGGCTCATTACATTATTCCAGTCGACCAAATTCTTAACTATTTCGCTAGTATTACTTCTATTTTATCGACTGAGCATAAGAAATCGCCAAGTCAGCTGTTTCAACTACCCAATAAAGTGATCAAAAAATTGGTAATTTAGTCCATTTCACACACAGTTCAAAATATTCTAATTTCAAAATAGGTCCAGAATAAACACTGCAGACATTCCTGGCACTAAAATAACATTTCCTCTGTTTATTAGTTATGTTTCCAGACTTTACTAATGAATTCCATTTTGGTTGTTTATTTACACCAAAAAATTGAAGATTTACTGTTACGCAATATTGTGATAATTGTATAAATAATATCAGTACATTTGTGAACATACATTAGACCCACCAGGTGATGTGTTATTTATGCATGATGTCATTTGTTTACTCTCGAATATCGGCAAAATTCGAACATTTCCACTACTTTGAATTCAGTTTCAAGCTATTTCCGGTACTAAAACCAATCAGAATCATCTCAATTTCTGTAATATATCTTCCATTCTATCAATGAGACCAACAAACTGTGAATACAGCCATAAAAAACACACAGTGGTACCTTGACTTACAAGTTTAATTCGTTCTGTGACCGAGTCTGTAACTCGATGTGCTCGTGTATCGAATCAATTTTCCTCACTGAAATTAATTGAAATGCAATTAATCCATTCCAGCCCCCAAAAACCACTCCAATTTTTTTGTTACGGGTTTTTAAATAAGAAATGTTGTATACTCCACCCACCACCATATCTACTTCATCCACCGCCCTCACTACTACACGCTACCACCTTCAGTACTACACCACCACCATATCTACTCAGCCCACCATTATCACTATTCCACCCACCTTAATGTTTCTGGAAAAACTCGAGTGTTGAAATGGAGGTTACCGCTTCCTCGGATTTGTACGAGAACCAAATAAGGGACGAGGTGCCTCACTACAATCTGGGATTAGTGTGGGAGTATTATCCTTCCAGATATGTCTTAGAAGAGCATGTGGGATGGGGCGAAGTACTTGACATTCCTCTGGGTACAGAGATGGATTTGACTTCAGATACGCTGCCAATTACTGGCGGCGTATCTGAGACTCACTTGGAACTCGAGTTTTGGCTCGCAACTCAGAGCAAAAAATTGACCGAGTAACAGCTCGTAACTCTGAAAACTTGTAAGTTGAGGCACTCGTAAGTCAAGATAGTAGCACTGTACAAATATACACTGCAAAGTCACTGTTTTAATCCAAAAATATGGTCAGTTTTTTTTTTCTCATTATGCACTGCGTGCTGCAGGATTTGTTTTATGTAGTGCACACTTACTACATAGATGCATTCTCTCATATCTAGGTCCAAATTTATCTGAGTGAACTGAGCTCATGGTGTAGAAATACAACTTGGAACCAAGCTTCAAACCCGTAGAATTACGGGACAGACCCTCAAAGGGTTAAAACAGTAAAGACGGTTGACACAAACCCACTACCAGTACAGTATGCACTGTGCTCCTCACTTAACGACCAATTTGCTTACTGACCTACTTATAGGAACGGAACCTCATTGTTAAATGAGGAGTACCTGTATTAGTGATATTTCCTGTGTCCAGAATTTTGGATCACCCTGTACTATACCCACAAGGGTCATACCAATAAACAGCTGAGTATGTCACAAGTAGAGGCTTTAATATTACAGTAGACCGTTATATTACTTGGTAGTTATGTTCCTGAAAACGTCGTGTGAGGTAAATCTGTGTTAAACAACTTTTTTTTAGACCTCCAGATCTCGCAAAAATAAAAGTGAATATGTAATTGTAGTTCATAGTCGTGATGTATTATGTTGTTTTAACAGCTTAAGACTACAAATTTAACAGAAATAATAGTATTTCTTACCTTAAATTATGGGTGCTGGTGTTTGTGGATGGTTGTGAAGAGAGTTGAGAGTTATGTTGTGTAATAAAGTTGGTAGAATTACCGACAATATGTAAAGTAAAAGGACACAAGTGCAACTAATGTGACATTTTATTGTGGCAACGTTTCGCAGCTTCACCATCTCCGAAGTCTTAGCAAGAATCCTCCTGAAAACAGTAAACCCTGCCATCACATAGTCTCTCCTGTTATACTACACAAAGCACATTACAGAGAGTGAACACTGAAACAAGCTGCCTCTTTCCAGTCTATATTTGTCCAGCCTATTTTTATGTTACCCAAGTAATAGCTTTTATATCCTTTTACTCATGTACGAATTGTTCTACCATATTGTATTACTACTACTACCACAACTTTTATCACTACTACTACTACCACCACTACCACTAGTATTGCACCTCACTCTGAGCCTATATATACCTTCTGTGTCCATGTATTGTTTGTAACAGCTTGATAAAGCTCCTGGAGAGCGAAATGTTGCTACAATAAATGTCACATTAGTTGCACTTGTGTCCTTTTACTTTACTTACAGTTATGTTGTGGTTGTACTGGGCTGAGGTGGATGGTAGAGGTTCTGGTACTAAGTTGATGGTTGTACTGGAGTGTGCATAAATTCTGTAACTGATTTTATCTGTTTTACCCAGCAGTACATTATACAACTGACGGTAAGGCATCAGCTGCTCTAGACACATTTTCAGACCACTGTCAGGGTCCTCTTCACTGAAAAGTCGAACTTTAAATCAGTCAAGTCAGTTATCACACAAACTTGTTTATTTACATCATTCATTTTAACTATACAAACTCGAGCTTTATTACAGCCATAGGTTATCTCTCGTCTAATATATCTCTTTTCTTTGTTAATTCTGAGACTTAAATGCTTATACCTTTTCTTGCCACTTTCAGCAACACTGGTATGCCTACTGGGTGTCATGATTGCTTGGCAGGTACAAGATATGGTAATTAAAAGATCAAAACACAATTCACAAACACAGCTCCTAGGGAGCATCTGTACTGGACATGTATTCATGAAGGCTGGGATGGGGATGGCGGGAGGCCTTCCCCACTGACCCAGGAGGTGGCAGTTTGAGCTGGGGAAATTTCTTCCACTCCCACCACTGGTACCGTGCAAAGTTAATTTTACAGAGTTTTGTATAAAATTGTACTGCAATTTTTCAGTAGTGCAATAGCCATAATGTGGCAGATAAATCTGTGTAATATAACTGTCTACTGTATTACAGTCAAAACTAAGGACTAATCCCACAAGACAGTGTTGTATGACCCTTGTGGGCTCGGTGATTAATTATGATTTTAACCTCACATTGGTCATACAGAGGCTTAAATTAAGATTGACCATCGCTAATCCGGCATCATTGGGACCTGTAGGGTGCTTTATTATTATAATCAAAAAGAAGCGCTAAGCCACAAGGACTATACAGGGGACCTGTAGGGTGCTGGATCAGTTGACGACCGACCTGTAATAAAGGTAGAAGTGCTAAACCCACAAGGGTCATATGGAGGGGGCTTAACACAAATCAAGGGGAAAGAAAACAAAGGTAATTTTAACTTGTCTTTCAGTGGAGTACCTCAGGGTAACATAAAATGTTAAAAATTAGTCCCATTTTATTCAGTATTTCTCTGTATAAGTTTCTACAAAAGAGGCCTCGTACTGTATAACAAAGACTGACAGCTTGGAGAAGACAGCGGCGTACGAACTGTGTGTGCTGCTGTGACAATGGTGGGTGATTGATGGCTCGATGACAGGTGATGATGATGGTGGAGGTGGCAGCCTCGGCTCACTGTGACAGGCAAGCCCCAGGGCCCCGGAGGATGAAAACGGTGACTAAACTACAAGAAAATCGAGGGTTGTCCAGACCAGCTTGGGAAATAAAGTGCACAGATGATCATTCTGATTGGTAATCGACCAGTAGTGTAATGTGTGTGCTACAAAAAAACAAGGAATTCTGATGACAACATATCACAGTTAAGTCAATAATGGGATTTTAATTCAAAATCCCATTAATAATCCATTATGTACAAAGTACTAAAACTAAAATATATAATTTTCTCATAATTGAAAGTAAAGAGCTGGGGCTTAGCCTTCACAATGATGGTGGTTGTATTCCCTTATAAAATAGTAGCGAATCCACAATGGCATTTACAATTATTCTCTCTTGCTCCACTATCTTCAAAAATATAAAAAGTAATAATTAAAATTAATAATACAATACTGTATACAAATTCTGGTACACTTGTAGCCTCTGTGAATGTGAAACAATGAGTAATGTTATGATGTTCTCAATAAAATACCATAAATCACACACTGTTTCATTCACATTCTTATCAGCAATTCTACCACCTGTAGCTTCTCCACTTTGAACTTCAGACATAACTGTAGCTACATACATTATCAAAAAGTCTTGTAACATTCAAAATAAAACGTACATTTTTATACTTTACAAATGGAAAAAACCTTTTTGGACAGTGAAATTTCTAATGTTTAATAAATTATATAGTGATACAAGCCTTACACTTGGCACCCTTGGGGAAACTACCTGGTTATATGGACAGTTACAAGACCATTAATTTGTCTAATTTTGTAAACTGGGACTGGATATTAAAATCCTGTCTTTAATTTTGTAAATGGGACCCCTTGATGCTAAGGAACACGGACCAGTGGTCCAGAGATGTTCTCTGCTCAAACCTTTAAACTCTCCAAGGATAAAAAAAAAGGCTAACCAAAATACGTACCATGTCAAAAGGGAAAAAACAATGGAGTCACCAAGTTTTATATATTTGATAAGAAAACCCTAAAATTGTAACAAATATTAGGAACTCTGATTAGCATGTTACTCCAATGTTAGAACTGAGGATCAAGTTTAACCTATGCTAGTGTGGGCTCGACTCATATGTATTTTACAGCACTATTCCTGAGTACAATACCTTGAACATCTGGGAGTTTGGTCAAATTTTTTATCTGCTATTACAGTTTGTGCATGTATTTCAAGGTCCAGATTAACAAACCAAGAAAAATGCATAAAACTTAACTAATACTGTGTGAATTTTTTTTAGCTGGATCCTTAATAATCAAGGTATTAGTATGGTGGCATGTGGAAATTTACTTTACAGTTTTTGTAAGAAAAGAGATACAAGGAGAAAATATTGCCTCTACATGCCTTCATTAAGTGCCATAATGATGGACTTTTAAAAAAGTGAATGTTCTTAAGACAAAAAAAGGATGAGATGTGAAGTTTAAAATGATAATGATATGGCTGATGACGACATTCTCTGATGATTGTAAATGCATTTCTGTGTTACCATAAACTGCTGTTGCCATCTTATCCGCCCAGCTTGCTCCTCTTTGTGTGCATCCTCAGCACCGATTACTTAACGATGGACTCTCTCTCTCTCTCTCGCACGCGAGACAACAGGTACTAAAAGTTGTGGAACCCAATACTGAAATTATCTTAGCTGCTGGTCAGGTGTGCCAGGATGTGTGGGGGGTTGGAGGAGCAGCGTGGGGAGCATCACAGCCCAGGCACAGTTATTAAGTCTGGCAAGGCCTTCGAGCGTTGTGTCTGTCCCTCGCCGTCGACTGGTGGTGGCGTCCTCTTGGGAAGGGGGAGGAAGGGGGGGGGGGATTGCACTGAACGCATACACATCTGGCAAACTCACACAGGAAGTCCCTCGCACGCATGGCAACGGGATGTGTGATGCATGGAGCAGTGAGAGCTAGCAGTCCTCAAGTCTGTGTAAATCTACTGCCATTGTAGTCCAGCCTCACTACCATGTTTAGACCCTCAGCACACACACTAGTACTAACACTGTCAATAACAATTTTACACTATATAAAAATATTCCATTAAAATGTCCACTATTTCTTGGTCATGGTGGCATGGGTCCAGTGGGGCCCAGAGCTGCTGCTGCTGCTGCTGCTGGCTCACATATACAGAAGGATTTGTACACATGGGTGTGAGGCATTGTGCGGGCTATGTACACGAGGTGGGCGGGGCGGGCAGTGGGTGCAGCTTGGATGGGCCGGTGGCAGTGTTAGGCTGCTGGCAATCATTGCCTCAGAGTACACTGTCATGGGCGGGCAACACGGAGAAGGCAGGCGGTGAGGCGGGTTCCGGCGGGTGCCTGCCTCTCTGCCTCGGGCACGACCGTGGGGGTGTGGCGACACTCGGTGCACCCTGGTGGTACCTTACCCTGCCCACTGCACCACGGCCAAACCCAAAGTTTAACTGACTGCTGATTCAGCCACTTGTACACCCTCAGTCACTGCTTAATCTTGCTCTCTTTGCAGACGGAACATTACCATCCTCCTCCTCCTCCTCTTCTTCCTGATCCTCTTCACCAGGCTCTTCTTCCTCTTCCTCTTCATCTTCCTCATCTGAATTCTCATCATATGCCACAAGACTAACCTGAAAGTAGATAATCAATTTTAAAAATGACAAAATAATCAAGAGAGGTGAGGAGTTTCCAACACTATTGCCACTACATACTATGTATACTATATATTTATGTAATCAATTTGTAGTTACCAAGAGCCGAGGTATACTCGTGCAGTTCCATCTTTAATAAGAGGTACATTATTATTATTATAATCAAAAAGAAGCGCTAAGCCACAAGGACTATACAGCAATAAGAGGTACAAATATTAAAATATTCAATGGTTTACTCACACTGGCTCCTTTAACAACCATGTGACCGAGCCATCTATGTACATCAGTTGTAAATACTTTCCGCTCTCTTTTCCACAATTTTTTTTTTTTATGTAAAGTAAAAGGACACAAGTGCAACTAATGTGACATTTTATTGTGGCAACGTTTCACTCACCAGGAGCTTTATCAAGCTGATGCGGCTTGATAAAGCTCCTGGAGAGCGAAACGTTGCCACAATAAAATGTCACATTAGTTGCACTTGTGTCCTTTTACTTTACATATTGTCGGTAATTCTACCAACATATATATACACACATTTTTTTTTTTTAAACTATTCGCTTACTTTCCCTACTATTGACATTTTCCCAGGACCTCTCATACTGTAATTTCTATCTCGCACGTTTGCTGATGCACAAAATGTGTGCATCACTGTCATACCATTTTGTCGAATTATTCAAAATCCCAGAATATGCTATGCAGCAATATTGCGTTTTAACCCTAGCGAGTTATTCACAGCGATGAGGTGCAGCTGGTCAAACAGAACTGTGATAAGTCTTGTATTCACCTCAATGATTGTTACTTTGTATATTCACCAACATAAACAATAAATTCTGATTAGAATGATTACGTTTTAATAAACCATACCCCCGGCCGGGATTGAACCCGCGGTCATAGAGTCTCAAAACTCCAGCCCGTCGCGACGGGCTGGAGTTTTGAGACTCTATGACCGCGGGTTCAATCCCGGCCGGGGGTATGGTTTATCTGCAATCGTGTCATTACGATTTCTTAAGTCATTACGTTTTAATACTTGTCCTTACAACATACCCGGGTATAATGGATGAAGATTATTTCTAGAAGTACACCTCTCGGGATGCTTAACTATTGAAAAGGTCGTCTATTTAGCCCCACCTCAGGAGATACTATGCTGTTTTCTGATGGGCAAAACAAAATCTACCAGAGCACTGCCCAGCAAGCAAGTGACAATAAGAATGATATTGCAGTTAATCTGAAATCTCAATTACATCAGCACACTTTACCAAGACGGTGATTGGATGATGGTAAAAAAAATAAGGCTGAGAATGGCCCTTGCGGGATGCCAATGTCAAATGCTCTAGTTAATTTTTCCTGTATTCACCATTAACATATTTCTATCAAATAATCCCGCGTCCACAGAATTAAATTAATATGGTCGAACCCCAGTGTTCGAACTTAATTGGTTCCTAGGTGGTGTTGGAACTGCAGAAAGTTCAATGTGGGAAACAGTGTTCACACACTGGAGGATGTTGAACTGACTCTTCCAAAAGTCTCTCAGAGTCAGGTCAGTGTCAGAGGTCACTTCAAAGCACAGCTTTCCTGTAAAGTTTTTTACAGCTGAATTTTAAACAAGCTAGTACATTCACACTCCAGTAAAACGATTAAAACAGACCTGGTTTGTTCAAGGTCTGGCATGTCCAAACACCAAGGTTCCACTGCATTACAATCAGAAGTAAGCCATAAACCCTCAAGGTGGCCTGTAGCTCGACCACTAGCAACCAAGTTCACACACTGAGGTCTGGGACCAATCTCTGGTACAGATAGAAAACATTAGGACGTGTTTCTGTAAGTCACCTACTGTCATATTGTCATTATTGTTACAATTAGAATGAAGAGCTAAACCCATGAGGGTCATACAAAAACAAGGGAGGAAAAGGAATTTGTATGTGACACCCAGTTTGTCACATACAAAATAATCAAGAGGCACTGATAGGGCAGAGACAGGTAGGAAACAGGTATTCAGGGGCATGGCTGGAAGCTAAACATGCAGGGATGTTAGGAAGTACTTCTTCAGCCTCAGGGTGGTCGGGAAGTGGAACAACCTCAATGAAGAAGGGTGGAAGCAGACTCCAAATGTTGCTTTAAGAACAGGTATAATATGGCCCATGAGGCTAGGAGAATGAATCTGGAAAGTGGCAAGTTGAGAGGAAGGACCAGGAGCTAAGACTCAGCCCCTGCAACCACATATAGGTGGGTACAACTCCTCACTGATGATCTACTGCAATTAGAATATTCCATATAGAAGTAGGCCAGAAAATATTCCATTCAATCATTCCAGTATATAGAAAAGGAATATTGTTTTTGTATCAATCGTTCACATTGTTCAAGACTGTAGTTGAACACTTCTCCAGACTAAGGGACTGACCATCTTAATACTACTTCAACACTGACCTCTCCCCTGCTTCTCTTATATTTATTATTTTTCTCCTGTACTGGACTGAAGCAGCCCAGTGTGAAGACAAACCTTTGTGAATCAACCAGAGAATGTGGGAACTGAGCTCCTGGTTGTTCCGTGGTTCGTTTACAATTGTAGAATTTTTTTTTTTACAGCCGCTAAAGAGACTATATATATAATCAATCAATTAGTTACTGCCTTATTATCTTAAGATAGTCTTAAGTCTGACTGAAATGTTCTGCGTATTAAGGGGCTTCCTGCATGTACACTTGAATGTCATCACCTCTGTACAAACACTATCATGCTGAGATAAACAATCTGAATCTTAATTACAATTTTGCGATTCGTAAATAAACACACCATAGCTAACCAATGCAAACATCTTGCTCACTCCTTAGAATGCAACGTTCCTCTAAGTCGAACACGAGTCACAGTTTGAAACCTCCCAGTTTTTCTAGAGGGAAATACAGCAGTCCCCTGTATCCACAGGTGATGTGTTCCAAGACCTACTGTAGATAGTAGCCAACACTATTTATGTCATTTTTCACTTACATACATACCTTTGATAAAGTTAATTGATAAATTATGCAAAATAAGCCTAGAATTATCTCTTTTTCACCGATGGGAAGTAGTTCACGGCTTCTCTTAGGCTTAGAAGAACTGTCACCATCATTACTTTTGCACTTTAGGGTCATTATTTAGCAAAATTAAGGGTTATTATTGGGCCACGGTAAACCGTAGATAACTGAAATCGCAGATACTGAATCTATGGATACAAGGGTTCTACTGTGACCAGTACAGGAGGACCTACACGTACACCACCTCTTTCCAGTTTTCCACATTTTCGTTGACTTTCAAATGAGTCGTCGTTCCATCCACCGATGACAATCGCCGGCACATGGAACGTGATGAACAACAGCTCAATTTGAAGCCAATAAAAATGCAAAATACCAAACAAATGCTATACCATTTTTGTGTAAAATATAATCAACTTTACAGTTATAGTACAATTTCTGGTACCCTGAAGGTACCAGAAAATATTTCTGCCCCTGGAAAATTATTCAAAATGCCTCCATTAAGCATACAAGGATTAAACATACAAGGCACATATGCAAAAATACAAAAAAAAAAAATCTTACAAATCACATCACCAAAGCAATGTTAAAACTTTAGCAGTAGGGGGTCCATTATTTTTTTATAGCAAGCAGTAATGATAAAGTTATTAGGTAACTAGACGACAATTTTGGGGTAACTCTGGTTAATTGTACGAGCACAATGTGGTGATTATGGGGTAAATGGTGCCGCAGCACCACTAACCATCACACGACCTACATGATGCACTCTGACCCCCGTCGTCTAGTCATCTTTATACAAGGCAAAACAAACTCTTACTCGTCTTTATTAGAAGCAGAAGAGATGCTTAGTCATCTTAGTTTAAACTTCTCTACTGATGTCAGTGTATACCTGAATACTCTCTCTCTACCTTCTCAATTAAGCAAACCAAGTGACCTTAACAGCATGACTGTAACAATTCACAGCTAACTCGCAATTTAATCACAACTCGGAGGATGTTCTGGTCTGCCCCGGCCATCGTCAAGTGGCAAGCAAGTCGATGACGGTCCCAAGCCAACCAAAACGACCTCTAAGGATCTCTCTCCAAATTGTACACTAGTCGTAAATTATTAATCAGGTCTACAGGAGTGTTGTTATATTGAAGAGAAACTCTTACAAAGAAGGTACAGATTAAGACACTTGTGCAACAGCTGGTTATCTTTATTGATGAAATGTGTCACCCACACAGTCGGCTTCTTCAGTCATATAGAGGCAGCAGCAGTAATGAAATAAAGATGATGTAATCAGTTCATTAACCTTGGAGAAAAAGTATTTGAGGTGGTGAGTCCCTCAGCCTGGAGAAGAGTTCAGCTTCATGGTCTGGAACGATATCAAGCTGAACTCCTCTCCAGGCTGAAAGACTGACCGCCTCAAATACTTTTTCTCCAATGTTGATGGACTAATTACACCATCTTTATTTCATTACCACTCCTGCCTCTGTATCTAACTGAAGAAGTATACTATGGAGGAAAAACTTTTCATCAATGAAGATACCCAATTGTTGCACGTCTGTCTTAATCTTCAATTTGTCGGTATTTTATACCAATTTCAGGAAGAATACAATCAAAACTTGACAAAATACAGCATTAAACCTTTCTATTTCATTTTAAATCAAGCATTCTTAGTGCCGTTTTTACAGAAAAACAAATAATTTACAAAACTCCCAGCAGGAAATGATAATTTAAGCTGGCACCCAAAAACACTTGCAATACTCTCTAAAAAAAAAAATTTTAATTGGTAAAAAAAATTTAAGAGAATAACAAAGCATTTGAAAATATTTTTTTATGTTATCAAGTCTCTTATAAACCTATTCTATATAGTGTAATATTTGTAAAAGTAAGTGAAAAAATACTTCCAAAACTACGTATGCTATGAAATTTTTTCATGTAATATTTTGGATGGACTGTTTCAGGTGTATTTACAAAATTTACACTATGTAGAAGAACTCTATAAGAGAGCTGACTATATAATGTATAAGACTAAAACTAATCCAATTCTATAGAGGTACTCAGGATGTGTGTTCACCTTTATCTCCACGAAGCTTTGACAATGCTAACTCCTTGAAGGCATAACAAGGGCAGCTGTGGCGACCTGTATCTTATGTCCGACCCGCTGCTACTCCTAGGAAAAGACATCACCAAGAGCACAGTCTATCAGTGCATACCAGTCAACAGTGACAGCCAGGAGGGATTGTCAACACTCCCTCACAGGTGACATGTCTTCCATCTTCATCTCACAATCCCTCTGTCTCACATATTCCTCCCACCCCTTTCTTTTCCACATAGATGAATTGACAGGTTTTATCCTATGTGAGCTCATTTCAAAGCCAAAACCTAAGGTATACTAACATTCCCCTGTGGGATGTGATCCACAACAGCCGACTAATACTTAGGTACTTATTTATGCTAGGTGAACAGGGACAACAGGTCTAAGGAAATGTATCCACGGACCCTCAATGAGAGCCAAACCCTCACTACCTTTACACAAACTCACTGAGGTGTCTCTAAATGTATATATGCTGAGAGCTTACTTAAATCGCTAGTCTGGGTATTAAATTATTCATGGCAGTTGGTAAACAGGTGATAAGCAGTCTTAATGACCCTCGTGTAGTAAACGGGCTTCAATCCCATTATCATTCTCCCTTGTCAGTTCCCCATCCTAAACATCTCATTTCAATAAATAACAAATAAAGGCACAATACCGTGACTGGAACGATACACAAATAACCCACACATAAAAGAGAGAAGCTTACTACTACGTTTCGGTCCGACTTGGACCATTTACAAAGTGACTTTGTAAATGGTCCAAGTCGGACCGAAACGTCGTCGTAAGCTTCTCTCTTTTATGTGCGGGTTATTTGTGTATCTCATTTCAACACTTAATCCACAAGCAGAAATAATTTCCAATTAATGGCAAGCACTAAAATGCACAAATGCAAAAGGTTTAACAAGTCTAAATATGGTTTTGAGCACAAAGTTCACCTACTGTACCTCTATAAACATGACATACTCGTCCCACAATGTTAACCCACAAAAAATAACCAGCATCATTCCGTTTCCCATTTGTAAGGGGTGGCAATGTGGGTGAAGTTGATATATATAACAGTACAGTGGACCCCCGGTTAACGAACTTTTTTCATTCCAGTAGTATGTTCAGGTGCCAGTACTGACTGAATTTGTTCCCATAAGGAATATTGTGAAGTAGATTAGTCCATTTCAGACCCCCAAACATACACGTACAAACGCACTTACATAAATACACTTATATAATTGGTCGCATTTGGAGGTGATCGTTAAGCGGGGGTCCACTGTATAAATAACCCCATCCAAAATGCATGAGATCAAACTTTAAAACTTATCTTAAAAGGTTATTTAATGCAAAATGCATCTACTGAAAGTTCTCTTATTAAAAAAACAAAGAGTTTCTCTTCATAGTGTGATTATTTTGTAAATGCAATGAAAGAGTACATCCAAAATTGAACAATGTGTATGTGGGTGGGCTGGGGGCCTTTTTAGACGGCAATGGCTGCACTTGGATGCACTCTTCAACCAAATTTAAAAAAAAGAAAACAATTATAGAGGAGCCTTATGAGAGATGAATGTATATAGAGGAGCATTATAAGAGCTGAATGTATATAGAGGAGCATTATAAGAGCTGAATGTATATAGAGGAGCATTATAAGAGCTGAATGTATATAGAGGAGCATTATAAGAGATGAATGTATATAGAGGAGCATTATAAGAGATGAATGTATATAGAGGAGCATTATAAGAGATGAATGTATATAGAGGAGCATTATAAGAGATGAATGTATATAGAGGAGCATTATAAGAGATGAATGTATATAGAGGAGCATTATAAGAGATGAATGTATATAGAGGAGCATTATAAGAGATGAATGTATATAGAGCAGCTTCTTAAGAGCTGAGCATATTCAGTGTAACTTTATAAGAGAGGCAAGTGTAAATACAACCGAGATCTGAATTGGTGTAAACAAAGTAGTACGTTCCTTGTAGTGAGACAGAGGCTTGACTAAGATGTGTCCTACAAGGTGATTCCCTCATCTATGTGAGCTTGCATCTTGCGCTGACTGGCAAGACTTGCCGGTAACTATGAAGAGGGACTGTGTGTGGAGCACAGTCTGATGTGCAACATTTTCCTCTAAGCCAAATGTCCCTGAAAAAACTTGGCTATGCTGAAAAAAATTGGCTATGCACGTAGCATTCTCTTATTAACTCAAACGTCTATGGTGTTCTATAAGAGAGTGACAACGTCCCACAAGGTTCGTCAAGAACAGGTGTGAAAGTCAACAATTCTGTCAAATAAAAAAAAAAAAAATCACAACACTGTGGCTGGAACAATTTACCAAAAAACTTGGACCTCGGAGAAGAACCGTACGACATTAATGTCCATCCCGGACTAATGTTAAGCCACAACAATTGTGACTCAACAACACTCCACGGTGGACTGAAACAACATTGTAAGGGTCCTCTCCGAAGAGTAAGTGTTTCGTGAATCGTGTCAAACACTGGAAGCAAACTGGCTAAGCAAAGCATCAACACGTCTAGGGTAAACATCCCAAGCAGCAGGCAAAAAATATTTTGCGCCACTAAGCACGCTGAAAAAAAAGGACATGGAACTACTAAAAATGTCTAGTGGTGCAAATTTTAGTGGATTCTAACAGCTGATAAAGATAAAAAAAAAAATACATGAGAGAGGAAATCTCACAAAACAAAAATGAGGAAGAATGGTAGTCTATATATTATGACCTCCAGCTGAGGTCCTCTTCAGCAGAATATAAAAGAACGAGGGGAAGCACTCAAGTATTTATACTGGGAGAGAAGAGGAATCTTCTAGGGTTCTTGAGGTGCTAGATGACATCTAGTACTCTCATACTCTCTTAAATATAAAATTCAGTATTCTAAATAATAAGAAGTCACACTAGCACGACTGGAACAATACACAGATAACCTGCACATAGGAGAGAGTAGCTCATGATATCACTTTGGCCCTGGGCTTCTCTCTCCTGTGTGGGGTTATTTGTGTATTTAATATTCTATATTATTGTAGTTGTTTTATTTATGGTTTGATAACTGAGTGCTTGTCAATTTCTTGAGAGACCAAGCTCTCAAAAATTATAAAATTCATTTTTTTTTTTTTAACACAACGGCCATTTCCCACTTAGGTGGGGTAGCCCAAAAAAAGAAGCACTTTCACCATCATTCACTCTATCACTGTCTTACCAGAGGCGTGCTAATACTGCAGTTTCAAAACTGCAACATCTCCACCTGTCCTTCAGAGCACAGACACTGTACTTCACCCCTCCAGGACTCAAGTCCTGCTAAATGGTTCACCTGAATTCCTTCATGTTACCTTGCTCACACTCCAACAGCATGTGGAACCATAGAATTACTTGCCTCCACTTATTCCTAGCTATTATTGTCAAAATATCGAGACTACCTTTCTACCTCACTTATGTACATGAATGGTATACAGTACCAACAAGATGTACAACATCTGGGTATCTTTACTTGTACACATTTCACCATCCAGTGACTTTATCAAGACTCACGAAATTGTAATGACACGACTGCAAACAAACCATACCATAACGCGTCGGTCTGGAGTTTTACGACTCTCTGATCACGGGTTTCATCCCCGCCCGTGGTGTGGTTTGGCTCTATCAACACAAATTCAAGGACATAATGGGAAGACTGTGGAACAACATACACAACTTGAGGTAAACAGTCCCTCAGCCTTGGAGGTTCACATAAGGACTGCTTACCTCAATTTTTGTATATATTTCTACAGTCTTCCCATTATATCGTAAAGAACTTATAACCCTAATTTTTGAAGGGGTGGACCGGCAAGCCATCGAAAGGCCTTGGTCAAATGACCAAAAGCACCAGAGATGGGTCATCGTATGACTAAGACCCGTGTCACAAAGCACTTGTCCCATTTCCTGACAAACCGGGAGGCCTGGTCATGGACCGGGCCACGGGGGCGTTGATCCCCGGAATAACCTCCAGGTAACCTAACAATGATGTCCTTGAATTTGCATTGATAAAATCACTGGATGACTTAACATCTACAAATAGACACCCAGACGTCAAAAACGTGTCTAATTCTTCACCTCATTCCAGTCATATGAGACTTCCTCTCCCACATGTCAGTATATATTACACTTTGTTGCATGAGCATATTGCCATCTCACGTTAAAGAGGACACAAAGCAGCGGGTGACCAACCTTCTTGCGGGCGGGGACGGGAGACTTGTTGCCCTCGGGAGAGAGCGTCGTTGCACTGTTATTGTTATCCTTATTCCCATTGTTGAGTAGTAAGCTTTGCTTCCCAGTGGCACCCAGCATCTTGCTAGCCCCGTTCTCCTTCTCGACTTTGTCTGAAATGTGTAGGAATAATTGTAAGTGGTGGACTTGTGATGTTATTATCCAGAATACTGCAGTATGCCAAATAATTACTGCAGTATGCCAAATATTTACTGCAGCACGCCAAATGATCACTGCAGTATACCAAACGATCACTGTAATATACCAAATGAGCACCGCAACACACCAACTGGCTTATGCCAGGCAGATGCTATCATTCAACTCTCGCCACACAAAACTAATGAATGAACAATGAAACTGTACAAATTCTCTGTACAAAATACCACTTTTAGTGTCGGACATATTATAATACTACTTGTGTACCAGAACATGAGTTTCAAAACCTGAAGCCAGCAGGAGGCTGGAGACCACTAGTGCACAAGTCACAATGACAAACGTGTGGTGTGAATACACAAGTAACCCCACACATAGGAGAAAGAAGCCTCTCTCTCCTGTTATAAATAATAAAAAAAGGCACAATACCATGACTGGAACGATACACAAATAACCCGCACATAAAAGAGAGAAGCTTACGACGACGTTTCGGTCCGACTTGGACCATTTACATGGTCCAAGTCGGACTGAACGTCGTCGTAAGCTTCTCTTTTTCATGCCGGGGTTATTGTGTATCTCCCTCCTGTTGTGTTTGTATCGTTCAAGCTACATTTGTTTTTTTGGTCTTGGGTGGTTTGAATAATTACTGAAAATTCTGAATTTGTAGATTATACAAGTTGTAAAGTTACTTAGAGTTTTATTCAAGGAATGGTTGTTGAAGTGGTCGGATAATTTGGGGGGAAAAAAATAGGGTACTAGGGGGGAAAATTTAATATAGGGAAAGGAGGGGTATGACAACCCAGGGGGGATTGGGGGGAGGGGGTAAAGGTTTTTTGAGTGCTAGGGGTTTGGGAATCAAAACGGGTTTGTGTACGTGTTAAATAAGGGAGGAAAGTGGCTTTTATATTATGTGCTTTTTGGAGTGTGAGCAAGGTAACATTTAAAGAAGGGATTGGGGGAAACCAGTTGCCAGACTCAGTCCTGGGGGTGGGAAATAGTCCCCCCTGCCCTGAAAAAGGCGGGGGATATTTGCATTTTGAATATAGCATCACACACCTCGGGCAAGACAGTGATGGAGTGATGAGGGTGAAAGTGTTTTCTTTTTTTTTTGGGTCACCCGCCTTGGTGGGAGACAGCGATGATTAAAAAAAGAAAGAAAAAAAAAACCCAAAATAATGGAAGTCCCCCCTAAAACAAAAACCCTGTTAACATTCCGGGGATAAAAATTTAGGTTTGACCCAATAAATCATAGGGGGGGCCCCAATTTCTTGGATCAAAAAGGGTACTGTACCTATCACCCAAGAAGACGGGAACATAATACAAGACAAAGAAACTGTACTCTCACTAAGACAACAAAGACAACGACCTCTCCTAAGACAATGCAAGAAAAAGAAAAAATAACCAACGGGTGCCGGGCGGGTGTCTCTGGAAGGCAGAAGAGGCTCCGATTCGCAATCTCCTCCTCGTCTTGTTGGAACCCCATCTCCTCTTCCCTCCCGGTCCCCGCACGTCTCTTCTGTACCCGTACCCCTAACTACCCCCCCAAATCCGTGCAAAAAAGGGGCAATGGGGTTTAAAAAGGGGGCAAGAAAAAAATTTTTTTTACTTCATGGCTTTACAAGTAACCAAACTTGTCAGCGTCTTGATTTACAACCTTCCTGATGTAAGGGGGGCATTCTGGACCTATCTAGGCCCTTTACAAACCCTTTCCGGGGGTAAGGGGGCATTCTGGGCACTATCTAGGCCCTTCACAACCTTCCTGGATTAAGGGACATTTCCAAACACACTAGGCCCTTTTCAAACCCTTTCCCGGAGTAAGGGACTTCTGGACACTATCTAGGCCCCTTTTCAACCTTCCTGGATTAAGGGAGCATTCTGGGCACTATTTGGCCCCTTTTTAAAACCTTTCCCGGGTTAAGGAGCATTCTGGACACTATCTAGGCCCTTTACAACCTTCCTGGATGTAAGGGAGCATTCTGGACACTATCTAGGCCCTTCACAACCTTCCTGGATGTAAGGGAGCATTCTGGACACTATCTAGGCCCTTCACAACCTTCCTGGATGTAAGGGAGCATTCCGAACACTATCTACGCCCTTTACAACCTTCCTGGATGTAAGGGAGCATTCTGAACATTATCTAGAATTTTTACAACAACCACTACTACTACTGCTACTATTGTTCTAACTTCATTGATCAATATGAAACCTATCGACTACACTAGGGTCACTTAACGCTGCAAATAACTTGTTCAACAGATAAGAATACTTTAATACCTAAAATTAGAATTAAGGTAAATTCTCAGTGCGTTAGCATATACAGTGGACCCCCGGTATTCGATGTCATTGGTATTCGATAAATCCGGTTTTCGATGCATTTTAACGCAAAAATTTTTCCTCGGTATTCAATTGAAAACCCGGTATTCGATACAATTCGTACGAGACCTGTCCACGTGTGGCCTGAAAACCCCCATGTGTACCAGTGTTTACAAGCCAGCCAGTGTGCGCACATCTAAGGATACATTCAGTACATTCCATATTATCCATATTATCACTGTGTTTGGTGCTTGTTTCTGCAAAATAAGTCACCATGGGCCCCAAGAAAGCTTCTAGTGCCAACCCTTCGAGAAAAAAGTCGCTAATGACTTATGAAATGAAGAAAGAGATAATTGCAAAGAACGAAAGTGGAGTGCGTGTGTCGGAGCTGGTCAGGTTGTATAATAAACCCCAATCAACCATCTCTACTATAGTGACCAGGAAAACGGCAATCAAGGAAGCTGTTCTTGCAAAAGGTGCAACTGTGATTACGAAACAGCGACCGCAAGTGTTAGAAAATGTTGAGAGATTGTTATTGGTGTGGATAAATGAAAAACAGATAGCAGGAGACAGCATCTCTCAAGCGATCATTTGTGAAAAGGCTAGGCAGTTGCACGACGATTTGGTTAAGAAATTGCCTGCAACTAGTGGTGATGTGAGTGAATTTAAGGCCAGCAAAGGTTGGTTTGAAAGATTTAAGAACCGTAGTGGCATACATAGTGTAATTAGGCATGGTGAGGCTGCCAGTTATGTTGTGCAACAGAGGTCCAGTGACTCAAGCTGGTCCTAGTGGCATTAAAAGAAGAAGGGAAGTAACCCTGGAAAAGGACTTGCTACCTCAAGTCCTAATGGAAGGGGATTCCCCTTCTAAACACTAACACCTCTCCCCTCCTCCCATCCCATCAATAATCACCAGATCTTCATTAAAGGTAAGTGTCAATTATTTTGTTATTATTCTATTGCATTAAACTTAATATTTCATGTAGTAAATTTTTTTTTTTCATACTTTTGGGAGTCTTGCACGGATTAATTTTATTTCCATTATTTCTTATGAGGAAAATTGATTCGGTTTTCGATATTATTGGTATTCGATGAGCTCTCAGGAACGGATTAATATCGAATACCGGGGGTCCACTGTATATGTATATTAATTGCAGTGAAAAAATATTGAATTTCCAAGTTATTCCGTGATTTATCACAAAATAACAGGACAAGTGAAGGCCGAGATAATACCTCAAGAGCGACCCATAGCATGTTGGGTCGCAGCGTGACGGTAATTACTGTATTATTATTATTTATTATTATCACACTGGCCGATTCCCACCAAGGCAGGGTGGCTCGAAAAAGAAAAACTTTCACCATCATTCACTCCATCACTGTCTTGCCAGAAGGGTGCTTTACACTACAGTTTTTAAACTGCAAGATTAACACCCCTCCTTCAGAGTGCAGGCACTGTACTTCCCATCTCCAGGACTCAAGTCCGGCCTGCCGGTTTCCCTGAACCCCTTCATAAATGTTACTTTGCTCACACTCCAACAGCACGTCAAGTATTAAAAACCATTTGTCTCCATTCACTCCTATCAAACACGCTCACGCATGCCTGCTGGAAGTCCAAGCCCCTCGCACACAAAACCTCCTTTACCCCCTCCCTCCAACCTTTCCTAGGCCGACCCCTACCCCGCCTTCCTTCCACTACAGACTGATACACTCTTGAAGTCATTCTGTTTCGCTCCATTCTCTCTACATGTCCGAACCACCTCAACAACCCTTCCTCAGCCCTCTGGACAACAGTTTTGGTAATCCCGCACTCCTCCTAACTTCCAAACTACGAATTCTCTGCATTATATTCACACACACCATTGCCCTCGGGACATGACATCTCCACTGCTCCAGCCTTTTTTCCTCGCTGAAAACATTCACCCACCCATGCCTCACACCCTTTCAAGAGCGTTGGTAAAACTATACTCTCATACATTCCCCTCTTTGCCTCCAAGGACAAAGTTCTTTGTCTCCACAGACTCCTAAGTGCACCACTCATCTTTTCCCCTCATCAATTCAAATGATTCACCTCATCTTCATAGACCCACCCGCGGGACACGTCCACCCCCAAATATCTAAAATCATTCACCTCCTCCATACTCTCTCCCTCCAATCTGATATTCAATCTTTCATCACCTAATCTTTTTGTTATCCTCATACCTTACTCTTTCCTGTTTTCACCTTTAATTTTCTTCTTTGAACCCTACCAAATTCATCCACCAATCTCTGCAATTTTCTCTTCAGAATCCCCCAAGAGCACAGTGTCATCAGCAAAGAGCAGCTGTGACAACTCCCACTTTGGTGTGATTTTTTATCTTTTAACTCCACGCCTCTTGTAAAGACCCTCGCATTTACTTCTCTTACAACCCCATCTTAATATATTAAAAACCACGGTGACATCCACATCCTTGTCTAAGGCCTACTTTTACTGGGAAAAATTTCCCTTCTTTCCTACTTACTCTAACTTGAGCCTCACTATCCTCGTAAAAACTCTTCACTGCTTTCAGTAAACCTACCTCCTACACCATACACATTGCAACATCTGCCACATTGCCCCCCTATCCACCCTGTCATACGCCTTTTCCAAATCCATAAATGCCACAAAGACCTCTTTACCTTATCTAAATAGTGTTCACTTATATGTTTCACTGTAAACACCTGGTCCACACACCCCCTACCTTTCCTAAAGCCTCCTTGTTCATCTGCTATCATATTCTCCGTCTTACTCTTAATTCTTTCATAATAACTCTACCATACACTTTACCAGGTATACTCAGCAGATTT